TATTTTTAAGCCTTGGCATTTGCATTATATTCCAATTTGAATTTTTTCATTCATTATTTTTTTATTTTATCTTTATATTTTATGTATTATTATATTTTGTATAGCTCATTCTGTAATGTAAAAAAAAAATATTAATGTATAACCCGGTTTCCGTCTGAAGCTAATCGCGAGTCCAATGCCCACCACATCATGTTTCCAGTTCCAGCGGTTCGTCCTCGTCTACCGAGTAATGTCGGGTAGTAAGACGGGATCGTCTTACTAGGGGGAGGATGTCGGATATATATAGTATTATATTAATCGACGTAATGAATCGCCGAGACGTTATCGGCTATTTATTGTTGCTGGTCAATGGTCATTATCGTCGATCCGGCATCTAGAATGTTCGATTCCCCCCGCCCCGCCTGTTCCATATCTATCACCGGGAACTTGACAAATATAATTTCGACCAGTACTCGTCTGTCCGTTGCAACGGCACAAGCCGCCGATTTGGCAAGGTATTGCACGACAGATTGGCGCCCGAGTAATATTGTGGCTCGTGAGTGTGCCGACTTGCTCATCGGCCGTGGCGCTTTTATTCCGTGTGGTAATAATTATTAGTCCGTCCATTCTCCCGTCGATCACTCGTGGTTCGTTTTGTTGTCGCATGCTCATGCTCTTGCTGCGACAGTTCACCGTCCATGGTTAATATTATTACGGCTGTCGCTTTCGTGTCACGCGGAGTATCGGTGACGTGTGTGTCGTATATTGGATTGATCTTGTCGTCTGTTCTACCACTTTTGGGTCAGAGCTCGGATGTTTGGTGGTTCCGTCGCCGACCGCGGATTGCTGGTGTTTGCCGAGGGTTGGTGAGCTGCCGTGGAATTTCCCGTGGGCCAATTACGCAGCGTCGCGTGGACCAGCGGGCCGCGAGAAAACGTCGAGTGGCAGCACTTCTTATAGAAAGGGGACCGGTGATTATATCATTATCAATTTGTCAGTATCAATGATCTGTTGTTTACCAACATGTATTAGTTAGCATAGCTTTATTTGCACAGTGTTAAATTATACAATTATTATTTAAGTTGTCTGGGCGCCCATATTTTTATAAGCTCGATGTTGTTGTTATTATAATTTTGTCGTCGTATAACAATAATTATCGTGTTTCTGGCACGTCATAATAACATACAATTTGTATTTATTATTTATTATTGATTTTTATATTTATGTAACCTAAGGTGTCCGTACTTTTCACTGATCTGCGTTTGAGTGCCTAGCGCAATTGTTTTGGGTCAGTCATATTAGGGAACTTATAGAACAGTGACATTCAATTATTGTATTATTTTAAGTGTAGCCGGATCGGTCGACGACCTCTGGGTCGGCAGTAAGGGTCCGTGCCACACCTGCATATATTCGAAAGTCAACTGTAAACCCATCATGTACACATAATTTGAATATTTTAACACCATACCTATGACGTTTATTTTTTAAATATTGTCGAAAAGAAAGGCGTCCAATAAATGGTATAACAGATTCGTCAATGCATAGCGATTCTTCAGGTATATATGCACGTTTATATTTGGAAACTTAAAGATCAACCAATCCTCGAACTTTAAAAAGTCTATCTCCAGGAGGACATTCATGGTTGTTACTAACATGAAATGTTCGGAGTAATAATTCAAATCTCTTAATTTTCATATACTTTGAAATTTTTGAGGAGTAAATCCCTTTTTTAGCCCAATAGTTCTGAATTGTTGGGAGGTGTTCTAGTCCCATCCACATTATAATACCTAAAAATTGTTTAATTTCAGAAGTATTTGTTTCTTTCCAAGCATTAAGACGCGAATGACGACGAAGTGGAGTACTAAGTAATTGACCAGCATATCTATTAGTTTCAGTAACAATGAGATTGAATACTTCAGTATCCAAAAAAAGTGAAAGAAATTCCCAAGGGCTTCCACCATACATGGTTTCATAAATATCCGGGTTAATACCTACAGTTTATTTTGTAGAATTATAAGTGAAATTTGAATAATTAACTGTGGTATTTATAGTTCCCCAAATTGCTACGTTCTGATTTGTTTGTTGAATATTTATAGACGCATCAGGTGAGCTTACCTGATCAGATTGAATCTGTTGACGACTTATAATAGCAATTTCATCTGTTATACTTGCTTCTGACTCACTATTATTTTGTAGATGTTCAATACCCTATGTATAAATAAATAAATTATAATTAAGAATGCATAAAAAAAATAATTATTAATACTTCAAAATTGTAGTGGTAACTACTAATTAATATGTATTTAATAAATAATTAATTTAAAAAGTGGTTATTACCTCAGGAAAGTAATCTTCGTCGGCGTCTGTGTCGTCAAACTCAGAAAATTCGTCTGTGGAGTAAACATCATCATCTGACATGTTTGTTAAAATATTTTCAATTTCAAAATCGTCCATTATAAAAAATTGTGTAATTGAAAATTTGTGAAATATAAGAGAATATTATATCAAAACATTTATCTTGAACGAACGACGTGTAATGAACAACAAACTAACATTAACTAGTAATATATTTTATTTTCTGAATATTATCGGTTTTATAATACCCATAATCGTTTATTGTTGTACTTTTATCGCACAACATTTTGGGAATCCTAAACATAAAATGAATCCGTTACCATGCTAATATTAGATTTTATTGTATTATAACAGTTTGATAACTACAAAAATATTGTGAAAATACACTTATTGGCTATGAGCATCAAATTTAACTCTCACCTAAAATTCTATCTATTTTAAGCACAATCGATTCAGAATACCGTAAACATCATATGATAAGATAAACATCTATTTTTATTAAAATAAAACCAAAAACATTTATGACCAAACTCGTTGTTTTGATTATAGCGTGGTTGACCTGATTAGGTGAGTATTAAAATTAACTCACAAAGCTATTAAAGAGGTATTCTCAAAAATGTAAAGGCAGTTAACTTGTTAAGTATAATTATTATGGGGTGTTGTTCCCTGATTAATTTGTGTAGGGCGTGGTGTGTTGGCTAATTGGTTATTATGTGTATTATTATAATTACAATTTTGATAAAAGTTTGGTCTAGGGAATTGGGTGTTTGTCATCTGGTTACTATTTGTGGAATAATTGTAATTCGGATGAAAGTTTGGTCTTGGATTATTTTGATAATATTCATTTGGATTATTAAATATAAGTGGTTGGCAGTGTTGATTTCTATTATAAAGGTACGGTCTCCAAGGCGCGACACGTCGCGGCGACTGATGTTCGTAATCGGTCGCCGCGTCGAATGTGATCTACTAAACGCGACCGCGACATGTCGCGGCAGTAAAATTATTGTTTTTGGCTAGTCAACAGTCATATTTTTAGTTCAGTTTCAAATCTGTTCGAGTGCGCAAGTATAATTTAAATTCATAAATAACGGTTAGGTTAGACGGATGTAATGCAAGCGGGTCATCATAATTAAACATAGAAAACTGTGAATCTGAAGATGTAGAGTACGTACTACCTGATGGGAAAAGTTGAATAGAATCTAATGTTTGAAAAGGTTGTTGAGCAATATGTGGTACATGAACATTAGCATTTGGTGAACAGTATTTGGATTTGTAGGTTGCTCGTATACCAAATACTTTTCTTCTAGTTCTGTTATCAATGAAATTATTTTTCTTTTAGCTTCGAGTTTTCCTTTGGTAGGTAATTTTTTAGCTGTTGCAGCCATACTTTTAAAAAATAAATCCAATTCATCCATATTGTCTTCCTTTTTATCCAAAATTTCTTTATTTTGATCCATAATTTGTTGAATAATAGAATATCTTTCTTTTGAATTATTTGTCAACAGATCAGCAACACTTTTTGATTTAGAAAATCCTAGTAAAACCTTCAGCCTGTAAGTCATTAGTTGCTTCACATGGTGTATCATCTCTTTCTTTATCGAGAGAAACATCTGTATTTTGTTCCAGTGTCGCGTTACAAATTGAGCTAAAAATGTAAGAAATGTATTAATTTCTAAAATTTTTAAATGTAATGAAAATTATTTATAGTTATTCAATAAAAAAAAAAAAATGTATTCTATTATATTATTATATTCAAATAATATTAAAAATATTAAAATCACGTAAAGATTAAAATGTTTTTATTATAATTATTTTGTATGTACTACAGTAAAATACAAATTTTACGCAAAATTGGTTTCCCATAAAATCTATTTTGGTGTTTGGTGTAGCTCTAAAAAAAATTAACGTAGATACAATAGATACATCACATTTTTAAAAAATGTTTATATTACGATTTTCTATCCGCTAAAAATATTTATAGAAAATAAATTACATTGACCCACTAATAACCTACTATACAGCAAAGCGGTACTTGTTGCCCTTTTTTGCAACAAAAATAAAGGTAATTTTAATTTTAATACATACTCTCTTTCACATTCAACTTCGTCCAAAAAAGTGAGATGTGTAGCCGGTGACCATTTTTTTTTTTTTTGATGCTGCCGATCCAGTCCCAGGTTTTCGTTTATTACGCGAGTACGAATCCCTAATGTTTTTCCAACGTTTTTTAGTAGCATCTGCTATAAAATCAAATTTGATTTAAGAATCATTATATTTATATTTGGTTCAATAAAAAAGTTATTTAAGTATTGTATTTACTATTTATTAATTATAATATGTAATATATAATTTTATTTACTAGATTTTCCAATTTTTGTGGCTACATCTTTCCATATTTTATCTTTCATTATAATATTTCTGTATTCTGGGAGTTTCATATCATATAACATTGGGTTATTTTGTACTTCATCAACTAAAATTTTTGTCTTCAGATGGCAAAAAAACTAATTTCGACATTGTGTCATCTTGATGTGTCGCTGCCTACTGCTCCATGAGTAGTATTGTCGCCACAAGTTGACACGTCGCGACCTGTCGCGTCTTGCTGACCAGATAATACGATTTCTATAAAAACAGATATTGACGACATGTCGCGCCTTGGAGACCGTACCTTAAAAGCTGAATCCATTGTTATAGCTAGTTTGCCTTCCGTTTTGATAATTATTGTTACTATTAGGAATGTTATTATGAGTTTGTCCAATCTTAATTTGACTTATATGATTTTTTAAAACCTCCATTTCTCTAGTCAATTTCTCTACTTCTCCATTTACTTTATCTTTCGATCTCAATAGATTTGTTACTTCGAGTTTCTCTAGAGTTTTTTTAATGCTTGCGATCGATGTATTATCTGCTAACCTTATTAACTGAAAAGTTTCTTTGGGTACTCCTTTTAATATGAGTTCACATATTTCTTCTTCGGTCATATTCTTGTTTATTTTATAACATATTCCTATTATTTTAATTATAAATTCTTTATATGTTTCTCCTTTTTCTAGTTACAGGTTTTGCAATTTTGCCATTAGTAAATGTTTATTTCCTACTAATGTAAATTCTGTTATTAATTCACTTTTGACTTCATTCCATGTAATATTTTCGTTTTTTGATTTCAATTGTTCAAAAAAATCTTCTGCTGAGTCTTTAAGATATAATTGTAGAATAATTACTTTGTCTTTGTCTTCCCACTCGTTCACTACAGTTATTAGTTCAAATTTTTTTATGAATTTATCTAAATCCTCGTTTTCTTTTCCTGAGAAAATATCGGGTTTATGGTTAAACGCCATTTTTATATAGTGTTGATCTGTTCACCCGAAATATTATTTTGGGTTTCTACTTTTAAATGTATAAAATCTGCTGTAAAATCGTTATTCCCCTTTTTATGTACTAGTTCTGTGCTTTTATAGACTCCTAAACTTTGATTATGTTTAGTACTGGACGTATTGTTATTTGACTTTTTGTTGACCTGATTTGACGTTTGTAATTCGCAAAGAAGATTTTGGAGTTGAGGTTTAATACTAACGGTATCTATAGTTTCTGGTTCAGTTTTTTTTTTATTAGAATCGTCTTCAACAACAGTTACGGACGTTACGGTCAACACAATTTGATCACTATTTGGTAAATTATGGTCTGTGAAAGTTAAATCTGTTTCGTTTAAGCTGTCTTCAGGGTCTTAGTCGTTTCAAAAAAATATTTTATTGCTAATTTTGCGAGATTCCTTAACTCTCCAATTGTCAATGTAATTTCACTATGTATATTACAAAATTTAAAAAAAACCACTCTTTCCGGTTTATTTAATAAATTTATCCACGCTACTGTTCGCTGGGAAATTATAAACTCAAATTTCTTTTGAGCTGGTAATTGATTAAAGTCTTCTTTTTCCAACGTCTCAACTACGTATAGTGTGCACAATGTAAATTTTTGAACAAGTTTTAAAAACTTCAAATGGTTTTATTCTCAAACGTAATTACATAAGTTAACTTATCTAATTAAGTTATTCCTTTATTTCCTTTACTACTATACTGTTATATATAACACTTAGAACCTCAGTAGTATGTGTTTGGGGAGTTTGGCGCCATTTTTACAGGGAGATGAAAAAAATCAGGGAACAAATTCCCCTTACAGTGCATCCAATCTCCCTGTAATTTCAAAACAAAAATGTATATGTTTAACCAGTTACATTACTAATTGCCAAACATGATGTTAAATAATACATAATTAATTTAAAATATTTAGTTAATTTTTAATGAACCGTTGATCAATCAAGTTGTGTTTTATTTTTCATTTTTCCGACAAATTATCTTATTGATTTTTACGATTAAATATTTTCAGTTTTATCAAAAACCATGAATTTACAGAAATTTTCAATCGATTTTCCATCTTTAGTTTATTTGGTGTGAAATAATTCGTATCCAATATATTCAGACTCTACAACATTTTTATCAAGATTAAAATCATATAATTCTTTTCCATCCACTTCGTGTCAAAATAAATATACATTATCTGAATCTGGTTTCAGATATACAGGAGTAGGAGATATAGTTGAATGTTTTTTCTGTGGATTTGTTTTACAAAAATGGACAAATGATGATATACCGTGGGTTGAACATGCAAAATGGAATCCTAAATGTATATTTGTTTTACTATGTAAGGGAAATGAATTTATAGAAAATTGTTACGGACGATCCTGAGATGTCCGCTCACAAATAAATAACAAACACTTCCTAACTAATTATTACTTTCTATATTTAAATTTGAAAAGAAAACTTACAATAAATTTAATGAATTAATATAATATGTTAAAAATAATCTGACAATAAAAATGTTCTGGAGAGAATCACAATGTTCTGTCTTACTACTCTAAAATCCAACTGCCACGGCTTGTTAGGAGACGTGTCTATAGCCAGCGCTTGCCTGGTATTGCTGTCACAGCAATCCTTTCAGACAGTCGCCGTTGTACAATATTATTATACTCTAACTATATTATATACTAACTAATATTACCAGGGGTTCTTAACACCCCCCAACTTAAATGGAACTTAGGGACCTAATGGTTCCGAATGTTCCGTACAATATGTGTTAACAACTAAATTTTATGCTTGTAATGTCTACTTATTGATTATTCAATGTTAAAATATTCGGTATATCCGGAGAATACATTCTAATTATTCTATTTCTAAACTTAATAGCTAATCCATTAGCTACAGATATTACAGTTATTATTAAGATATACACAAGAACCATATGAAATTCCATTTGAAATATTATTAAAGGGTCTTTTGTTACCTTTTGTAATTTACTTATTTCTACTAACCTTTTGGATAAAGAATTGAAATCGTGTATGATACTTATGTCTTTTAGGTTCTGTGGAATTATATTTTTAAGATTTTCTGATAATAATAATTTATGTTTTTTATTTTCCGGGATTAAATCTGTATAGATACTTCTATTAGATCTACTTGTCGGAAATATAATGGAATAATCTGTATGGATTTCACAATCCTGGGAGGTAGTCAACCTTCCTACGCTTGAGATCTCTAATGTTACTATTTGTGGGAGTTCCACACACTTGATAGTCACTAACGTTGGTTGAGTATAAAATAACCATGCATTAGACTCCATTAACTTATCCCAAATGGGTGTAGTTAATATTACCAATTTTATTTTACAAGTTTCTGGGATTGCCTGATATGCTAAAAGTGCTACTTCACAAAGGTTTGATCTCGAGCGGTGGTCAAATGTTTGACCACCTTTACAAAATTTATAGGTTCCTAAATTTACACATGCTTCCCACTATTTCCCTGCTATAGTGAAAAATTCCTCGTTATCATTATTAATTACCAAATATTCAACTTCTGGTTCGATTAAAATTACTGTATTGGTAGATTATAGAATTGGTAATGGAATGAGTCGATACACATTAAATACTTTACTTGCAACTAAGGGTATCTCAATAGAGATTATTAAGTACTCGTCTTGCACAAAAATCGTTTTTCAGAGATTTTGAAAAGATTTGGCATGGACTCATGTATTAGTTCTATAGGGAGGCTATTTCCCATGGGTAATTTGATTTTAATTTCTGTTAATTCTTGTATCAATTTTCTGGGGGTAATTACGCTTGTGTGGATTTTGCCATCTAGTGCTGCATTTATAATGGCAATAAGATTCTGTGTTTCGTAAGCATAGTGATTTAGAGTTGCCTCGAATAAAAATGCTTGTTCTAACAGCTTATTTTTGAATTCTAATCTGTTAATATTAACGATACTTTCCTTAGTCAGTCCTTGTAAATACCGTAAGTTATTTTCAAGTTTCTGATGATACTCTGTGATTTCTTGCAAAGTATGGTTCGCGTCCAATATTTCTGCTTGTACAACTCTTATTTTTTCTTTGACTCAATTAATATTTTGAATTTTGTAAAGTTAATTCCAAGATTTGTTTAAATATGAATTCAGTGTCGATTTTTGAGTATGCACCATACAAAACGTTGATCAGGCGTTTGAAGGTGCCTCCCAATCCTCGGCGATTTCGAATTTCATTATTTGAGTTATGCTCTATCGATAACATTACGTTACGACGATTTATTTGGATTTCATACAAATATGGTCGGGTTGTAGTAGAAAATTGGTGTAGAAATTGATTACAAATGTTTTCTATTTCTGTATTACAAAAGTTTGTTATCATTTGCTTACAAATTGTCTCCATTTCAATATACTGGGTCATCAACTTATCATAAGTTGTGGTTAAGACTTTAATGTCCACATACGTTACCAAGTTCCATGTAGTGTGAGAAGTTTTGATCATTCCATGAGATTCATGAGATTCATAATAGAGTCCTTTGTGGTCGGGGAAGGTAGTTGTTATAATTTTCTTAAGCTTCTGATGTACTATCCCATATCCACATTATCAGGATTATAATTTTCGGAATTGATGTATTTTTCTTGAAAATTCCAAAGAACGCCATAGTGAGTCCCTAGAACAAATTAATTTTCTGGTTTCATTTTTCTTGAAATAACTTCAGTAAATTCTGATGAACGGTCTGGTTTTTCTTGTTACTTTTTTTTATGGTTACATTCTTATTTGTGGGGTTTATATCTAAAATTTCATACGGACCCAACCACTTCGGGGCCAGTTTATTTTTTGGGGCTTTTTCTTGCAGTAAAACTTTCTGTCCTACTTCAAAACATTGATGTTTCGCTTTTCTGTCGTACTGTTCTTTTGACTTACTCTTTGCTTCNAGCCATCATTCTATTTATAGGAGCGGATAACGCATAATTAGTTTTGTGATTATTTATATAAAAAGTAGTTATGATTGATGATCTAGTTCTGACTTGAGGAACAGAAAAATTTAAAAAACTTAATAGCTCCGGACAGTAGAAAAACCCGTTAAGTAGTTTGAACAAAAATAATAGATCATTTACCTTTCTTCTGTTTGCTAAGCTCTGGATGTTAAATGTGTTCAACAAAGGTTGATAAGATGAGTGAGGTACACGTATAATATTACATTTATAGGACATAAAACGGAGAAAGCGATTTTGGACATTCTCAATGCATTGAATTTGCGTGTTTAAATAAGGAGACCAAACTGTTGAATTATATTCAAGCTTAGATCTAACTAAGGACATAAATAGAATTTTTAATGTGTTATGGTTATTGAAGTCTTTACAGTTTCTTGTAATAAAGCCTAATATCGAAGATGAATTATTGATAATATGTTGAATGTGGTGAAATTGCTTCTATCCAAAGCCTGAGCTTCTTGCATTTGTCTTTTGACTTCATATTGATAGTCATTATAATTGTATTGATGTTCTGGTTCGTTAGTGAGAGATGTGGGGATTTTTACAGAATTTCCATAAACCAAATGATATGGCTGGAATTTCGTAGCTGAATGAACAGTAGAGTTGTGGCAAAACATCGCATACGGGATTCTAGTATCCCAGTTTAGTTGATCCTTTCCGATAAATTTTCGTAAATATTCTGCTAAAGAGCGATGACTTCTTTCTAGACTGCCATTGCTCTGAGGGTGATAATGTGTAGTCGACGTCTACCAGATTTTGAGGAGTTTACACACCTCTTTAAAAACGTTGCTTAAGAACTCCGTACCACATTCTGTCACTAGACTTTGCGGTATTCCGTGTAAGCATACGAATTTAGTCACAAAATGTTGTGCTACCGTATTTGCTTCATGATTCTCCATGGGGGAAGCCCATGCGAATTTAGTGTGTTCGTCCTGTAACGTTAAAATGAAAGAATTCCCACTATGTGTACGGGGTAATGGTCCTACGACATC